AAACATATACATGAATTGGCCTTCCTCAGAAGAACAACGGAAATGTGGTTACCCAGATGGGCACCAGACTCTTACATTAATGGCGTGTCATCCACATACTTATTGCATAACAATCTGTGACCACCTTACCTCGGTCATTCCTTCTTACACTATCCCTTAACACATCAGACTGCTCCACCTGTATGGAATATAGCACCGTCGGTTATCATACATAGTAGCACCATCTCAACACACATGTACACTCCATACCTGCAAGTATGTGACTCCTTGTGACTTTTAGGTATACACAACAGGCACCTCGTTCTCACACCGCCCTCGGTGGGTAAAGACGAGGGCTTCACCTAGAGACATACCAGCACTATTTCTACGCCTGGCATTATAGGTCGCTCTAAGTGACGACCGCAGAGTTTCTGACGGTCTCCTTATTTGTGATTATTCATTTGGAGTGGTGCGCTGGAAATCCACAGGTTCACAGTGGATTGGCATAGCAGGGAGTAGTCACCACCTGTTGTGACGCTCAAAGGGATAATGGCGGCCGAGCGGCAAGGCACTCCGACCACATGGAACCTGAGGTGACGGTAGAACGAGGAAGACTGAGAAATAATGCCTGACGGGCGGTTATCCCACCCCTTAACACATTCCTATTACACTTATATATCCGGCAAAGCTTTAAACTGTAATGACTTCTATTTATAAACCTTAATTATAGGGCGGGATATAGCCCGCTAGGACACTGACCTGAGGTGACGGTAGAACGAGGAAGACTGAGGGCATTGCCCGGCCGCTCCTCATCACGTAGGCCTACAGTTTCCAATCCTTAATTTTCACTTTTGTTTCTTATGGTTCTCACCTGAACACTTTTCGGTATATTGTCACTCATGCCTGATAAACACATATTTTAATCCTAAATTACACACTAAGATAAGGTCTTGGTTTGCTAGTTCTAGGGTAAATTCATGGGGTTATAATATCAACGTGGCATCCGAGGCGGGTACATGACGCGCCTTGAAACAAAGGCTGAATGTTCATGGCGGGGGTGTATCAACTTCACTTAAAACTGTAATGAGGGATCCTCCTCTCACACATTGCACTATTTGAACACGGACATAAGATTCTCTGATCACTGTACCTGTCGTGGGTATATGTCACGTGAGGATACGAAGGTGTATTAAGTTCATACCGACGCATACAAGATATTTCCTTTCAAGTATAGTTTCTGGATCACTTCCAACACCTCACATAGTTCTGATACATTTATCCTTTTTCCAGATCATGGTTCTCATGTATGTTCATATGATATCTGTGGAAGTTATGTTCGCTACACGCTAACAGACGTAAATAGTATGACCTTCAAACCCTGATCCACACTTAGTCTTACAGTACACTAGTCCGGCTCAACTGGACTTTAACATTCATCTTATGCATACCCTGAGTTCTCCTTAATGCTATGAATACATACACTTAATATGATATAACTGTACCTGGGTACAATACAACACATGATCTAGGAACACTGAGTAGGTGAGTTGTCCTTTATCAATGTTTCCCGTTTTCTGAGGTTCTACAAGCGGTGGATTTGAATGTTACATAGCGTAATATGAATTAAATGGGATTTTTAGGAATGACAATGATGTGCGCAGTACATCAGGACCATGCTCGGAGCACCCATGTGGACCAGAATTTGCAATTTGCAAATGGAAACTGAACTACCACCCCTGGCAGTACGAGTCAAGCAGGTGACAGCCGGTCTCCTCGCCAAAATCTGTAGATCAGATAAGCCCACAGCTGCCAAAACGCGAATCAGTGCCTCCCTCCACCTCGACCACAGAGAGCGAGGGGCCACCTGGTCGCACGAGGCAAGCGAGGTCATTCGACACCTGCAAGCAGAAACACTAGTCAAGAACAACCAAGACACACGAGACAATGGTTACGTAGTTCCTCCACCATGGAGCCTTCCACCAGCCACATTCAAAATTACCGACCTAGGCGATAGTAAAGCCAACCTCCAGAAGGAGGACCTCAAAAAAATAACTCTAGAAGCCATAGCCACCGAGACACCGGCTGATGCAGCATCTTACTTCACAGACGGCTCGGTGGATCCAAAACATCATACATCCGGAGCGGCCTTCTACACCCAAGGTCAGACCCTCCGATGGAGACTTTCTAATGACTGCTCTACCCTACAAACAGAGCTGGTAGCAATTTCAAAGGCCCTACAACACGCTGCAACCCAACACAACAAGTCCATCATAATTCACACGGACTCGAAATCGGCCATGCAGGCACTGCAACACAGTCAACCAAGAGACAACGTCCACATCATAACCTCGATCCTCGCACAGCTACAGGAATTCCAAAGACAAAACCGCCCAGTCGTCTTACACTGGATTCCCAGTCATGTAGGGATAGGGGGAAACGACGTGGCAGATGAAGCAGCCAAGACAGCCAAACGCTCTAGTAGCGTACACATTCAAGTTCCAGCAAGTGTGCAACAGATCAAGAATCACCTCAGAAAGACTAGCAAGCTCCACATCCAAAAGAGCTTCCTTCACGCATTTAACGCTGGTTCCCAATCAGCCAAATGGTACCTGGCGGCTACAAAAGGGGAACCACCTTTCGCAGACAAGAAAACACCAAGACAAACCCAAGTTAGCTTTCATCGACTACGACTAGGGTACAAGTGCTCCTGGCAGACGATCGGAAATGACGTCATGGAATGCACCTACTGTCAGGAGCCAGCAGCCAACCCACTTGAACACTATCTCCTCGACTGCAAAGTCACACAAAGTCTCCGAAACAGAACTCAAAACTTCCAAGAAGCACACACAACACCAGCGGCCACTCTAACCCGAAAGGCCGAAACAAACCACATTCACCACCTTCTCCGGGTCATCACACGATACCCACCACCCAGATAGCTTAGAAAGTATCCTCTCCCAGCAAGTGCGGACCCCAGTTCGGGGGGCGCGCCACTCCGAAACTGACCACGTCCAAGAGTGGGGTTTGGTGGTAAGTGTCCACTGATCGGGGGTCCGCTCACACTTGCAACCTGCAGTATCCTTCCATATCTGCAGGTAGGACAACCTCCAATCCCAATCCGGTCTGGCTGCTCCAGGAGCTCCAGCCGGAACCACCGAACGGGCCGCCTATAGGCAAAGGCCCGTGTCGGACTACGGTCCGACAATCTCAACAACAACACACAACTGCGGAGGTCATTCTACTCTACTCTCCTGAACCAGCAAGACCTCTCAACAAGCTCCTCACCAACCAGCTCCCTCAGCAAGCTCCTCACCCAACAGGACCTCTGAGCAAGCTTCTCACCACACAGCAACTCCCTAGCACTGCACTGTACATACAATATATATATATATACAGAAAATGCATTGTGAGTTTCTATTCTCCATCCATCCTGAGTGTGAGATATCTTACATGTACGTACGTATGTGAGCCCATACAAAGAGATAATAGACAAGCAAAGAGAATTTGACAACCGGCCACATGCAGTACGCTACAGGACCTCTGTGGGCTCCAAGAATGGTCGAAGAAATGGCTGCTGAGATTCAATGTCATGAAGTGTAAGAGGATGCACCTGGGGCGTACCAACGGTAAGGAGGCTTATCATATGTCCCAACGGGATGAAGAAACTGCACTATTTGAGACTTAATGTGAGAAGGACCTTGGTGTGTATGTTGACAATGAGCTGAAGTTCTCGGGCCATTGCGAGAAGAAGGTAAATCAGGCAAATAAATTATTGGGTCTGATAAGAAGGTCGTTCAGATATTTAGACGGTTCCGTCCCTCGTAACGATCTTCAAGAGTGTTGTGCTTCCCCATCTGGAGTACTGCCACCCCGTCTGGTCCCCGAGATATGCTAGGGACTGTCAGTTGGTTGAAAATGTTCAAAGGAGGGCCACCAGACTGGTGCCTGCACTTCGGCACCTCAGCTACCCTGAGAGATTGGAGCGCCTGAACTTGCCTAGCTTATACTACAGACGGGCAAGGAGTAACCTAATTGAAGTGTATAAGCATCTCAAGGGGCACTACTCAGTCTAGTGTAAGGAGCTGGTGGACGCTCGCCCCACAAGGGGTCACAGCCCAAGATTGATGAAGCCGCAATTCCAGAAAACTGTGAGGGCAAACTTTTTCGGAGTGAGAGTTGTAAACTCTTGGAACAATCTACCAGAAAGTGTTGTGACGGCACCGAGTGTGAGCTCTTTCAAGACAAGACTTGACCAACACTGGAGTAGGTTCAGGTACATTCAGGAGCCGGTGCATGCCCAGTACTTGCCAATGGTGCGTGACAGAGACGTGACAGATCGCCCAAGCGGCTAACGAGCCGATCATTTGGTGAATAGGATAAAAGAAAAGGAAAAGTAACAGAAACATGACTGATCGCCCAAGCGACTAACGAGCTGATTAGTGGTGTGGAGGATAAAAGTAAAAGGAATAATTTGTAACCTGCAATTTGGTATTCGACAGGTAACTCACGTGAGTCTAGGTTTATCCATGTTTTGGTGAATGCTATTTTATCGATTTTTCGGTACATACCAACGCCCTGATTTCATCCATTTTGTTTCTCATACTTCTGCTGTTTGAGTAGTAGACATTAAAGTTAGTCGCATTCTGAGTCCTCTCTTTGTCAAGTTTAGGTTTTAACTCCCTGCCTAATTTAGTTTTGTCATAATTTCTAACACTATTTCCCTGTAACCTTTCACTTTGTTTACCCACTCCCACTGCAGTCCCCTCCAACCCCGTGCTCACATGTTCCCCTAGCAGTTTAAAGACTTCGACGTCTTTTGAACTGCCCTCTCTTTGTATTTTGTCTTTGGGTAGTTTCACTTGAAAAAAAAATTAAAATCTTAAATATCACGGTTAACGATTCAAATATCTTATGAAATATATGTAATTACTATATGGTATTTAATATATTAAAAATTTAGAGTGAACAAAATATAAAATATTATGAGAGTGATTGTCAGTCTGTTATTCTTTACGGTGAAAACAACGGCAGACTCCTGATCCAACAACAGTAACGCTGCCACGTATTAAATTTTACTACGCTTGAAACCATTTTGAACACCTTAATGTCGTTGATAGGTTGACAGAACCATCTTAAAACCCTCACGTCTTAGGTGAGGTTCGCTAGAAATAAAAGAAGCCTGAAACTACATTGGATAATTAAAATAGGATGCAGTAAGTATGTGCGCTTGACCAGCAAGAGGTGCATCTCACATTGCACCCAATCTGTCTAACAATATATGCTCATATAACTTAATTTTATCAATTTTGGGGCCCACGTTAATTGGATTTTGGTGTAAATGTATACTTGAGTTATGTTGTCATATACCTCAATTTTCCTCGTTAATGTGCAGAATTGTTTTTCATTGTAATGCTCTATTTTGGGATATTCTTCAGGTAAGAAAGGCTAATATTAACGACTATCTCGCTGGTGCATAATTTATTTTGATGTTTATATTCTTACTGTATTTCCACTAATAAGCTCTGATATTATAATAATCATTGTTGGGGTGTTAGGTCAATTTAATTTGGTAATTATTTAGGACTAACCTGCGGCCGTAATTTATTGAAAACGATTATAAAACCGCCGGATTTTTACTGATATTTTATAGTGGATACTGTTTTAGTTTGTGCAAATGTGTTAAAAAATGGATAATTTTAAAATAAACGTTACTTAACGTGTGGGTATGAAGAACAGACCTATCCAACCTAACCAAACAAACCTACCTAACCTTACCTAACATTCTCACCGCTCCCCGGACCCCCTCAGTATATTAAACTGAAAGAACTTACTATGATGTGATGAAATGCGAGGCATTTTCTGGACGTGAGATGTATCGGTGCTTACTGAGCCCGAGCAGCGGAGTGATTTGTTATTGAGATGGCAGGAAATGCGAGCCACAGCATCGATGAAGTGATGGATGATTGTTTCTAAATAACAACTGACTTAGCACACAAACCCAGTTCTATTTCACAGTATTGCTGTGAACAATACTTTGTACCTAAAGGAATGATGACGTGGTCTTTGAAAAACTTTAGCCTCGTCTTTATCCTTAAATTCGCAAATTACGTCCATATAAGACCGGCGACGACCTTCACACACCATGCTGAAAATGAAGCTGCCGCGGGGAAGAGACGAGACTCCTCTCTTGAACGCTGCCTTATTACCGCCGACAAGACAAGCTAGTGTGTGCCTAGGCGCCTAATTATCCATGAAACGAAAAATTGGCACAACAAATGATTATCATATCAGAACTCACTGATGAAAATAATGTAAGGAAATAAACGATAATGAAAATAACTCGTCGGCGGGTTAGTCCTATACATTAAACTTTAATTTAAAGTTAGGTGGTAAAATTGCAGATTACAGCAACCAAAGAATCTGTTGAAAAAAAAAAGGTGAAATTTCAGTCATACACCAGTCTTTCTCTCGCTGTTGTTAATCTATTTTTCGTAATGTTTAGACAATTCTAAGACCTTTTTTTCTATGATATTTCCGCCGGAAATTAAGGATAACCGAGATATTAATTTTTCAATATTATTAGATTTGGTCAGCCACAAGTGTCGCCATTTGGTGTTTACGTCTCACAGAGAAGGTCTGACCACCCATCACGCAGTGCTCCTTACCTCCGTGTTGGCTTCTTAAGCACCTACAGCGCATGTGCGAGGGTGGTTTGGGAGTTTCTTATTGGCTATAGCAATAGGAGACTTATAATTGGGCAAGAGATTTCTGTCTTAGCCAATGAACAATGTGTGGGTGCGTCGGGAGTGGAGATTTGATTTTTCAGTACCATAGTAACCAGATATGGCTGAACAGGTGGAAAGAGCTGTGCCGACATTACGCTAGAGGTTATTTTATGTCAATTGCAGAGTTTCATTAGAAAAATAGTGTTAGGTTAGGTTTGGTTTTGTTGGTTGGTTGGTTGGTATTTTATTTGTGATTTACTCGAAAAAAAAAATTTTCGTTAAAATTAATGGGTTGGGGGAGGGGGGTATCTCAAAAACTACTGATTTCCGGCTGATATGAATATCAAATTCGTTTGAAACTCATCAAATAACATCGGAAAAAAATAACTTTAATATCCAAACAAAGACCGGTGCATAAGTGAAATTTGACCCCCAAAAGTTTTTTTATGATGGTTTTTTGATACGATTGGTTCAAATCTGACATTCGTTTTTAATTGGAAATCACTCGTTTTGGATTTAGCCCCCCCCCCCCTCCTCCCTCTAACAATAATGGGGAAAAGCGTGGAAATTCGGTGTTCTGGGTGGGGGAGAGCCAAAACGAGTGATTTACAGTAGAAGCGGATTCCAAAATTGTCTGAATTGCAACAAGAAAACACCAGAACACAGTACGCAACAGAAATTCTGTTATACTATACGAAAAATAGTAAAAAATAATAGTTCTATCGATTGCGTGTTTTGAATTCCCAGTACTCTATGCTTGCGAACTCATGCAATATAACCAAACTAAACCTTAACATAAGAACATAAGAAAATAAGGAGTCTGCAATAGGCCGGTTGGCTTGTGCATGGCAGCTCCTGTCGAGAGTTACTACCACACTCTATCATCCATGAATCTATCTAGCCTCCTTTTGAAACTTTCCAGCATTCCAGCACTTACTACAAAGTTGCTAAGCTTGTTCCACTCGTCCACCACCCTATTTGTGAACCAGTTCCTTTCTATCTCCCTCCTAAAGCTAAACTTATCCAACTTAAATCCATTGCTCCGAGTTCTATCCTGCTCGGATATTATCAGTACTTTATCTATATCCCCTATATTGATTCCTTTTACCCACTTAAATACTTCTATCATATCTCCCCGCACTCTTCGGCTTTCTAGGGAACGCAAGTTAAGTTTCTTTAACCTATCCTGATATGGAAGGTTTCTAAGTCCCGGAATCATTTTCGTCATTCTTCGCTGCACCGACTCTAGTGAAATGATATCCATTCTATAATAAGGGCACCAGAACTGAACCGCATAATCGAGGTGCAGCCTGACTAGCGCAAGATATATTTGCAATAAGACCTCTGTACTCTTATTACTTACACTTCTAGATATAAAACCCAATACTCTGTTTGCCTTATTTCGAACATTAACGCACTGTTTTCTAGGCCGTAGGTCCGGGCTTACAAGTACCCCTAGGTCTCTTTCACAAGTCGACTTCTCTAGGTTAATGTTGTTAAGGCTGTATACATTGTCAGTATTTGTTCTTCCAATATTAAGTACGCTGCACTTGCTGGTGTTGAATTTCATTTGCCATTTTTCAGTCCACCCCTGCAGTTTATTTAGATCCTCCTGTAATGCATTTGCATCCTGCCCTGAATTAATTTGCCGCCCTATTTTGGTGTCATTCGCAAACTTGCTTATGTCACTGCTAATCCCAGTATCTAGATCGTTTATGTAGATTATGAACAAGAGTGGGCCTAGTACTGACCCCTGGGGAACCCCACTGGTTACACGGCCCCACTCAGATTTAACACCATTTACGCTGACCCTCTGCGTTCTATTGGTGAGCCATGATTTTATCCAATTTAAAACTTTCCTCTCGATACCATGAGCCTTAATTTTTCTCAGAAGCCTCTGATGCGGTACTCTGTCAAATGCTTTGCTAGAGTCTAGGTAAATAACATCGTAATTTTCGTTATTATCTACTACTTCGAAGACTTTCCTAAAAAACGTCATCAGATTTGTGAGACAAGATTTTCCCTTTGTAAACCCATGTTGAGAGTCGTAGATTAATTTGCTTTTCTCTAAATGCGATCGGATGCTATCTGCTATAATTGATTCAAGAAATTTCCCCACTACTGACATCAAACTGATCGGCCGGTAATTTGATGCTGATGCTCGGTTTCCCTTTTTGAATATGAGTACTACATTTGCCTGTTTCCACAAGTCTGGCACAACTTCGGTGTCTAATGATTTTGTAAATAAATTTACGAGGGGTCCGCTAATCTGTTCCCTACACTCTTTCTAGACTCAAGGGAAAATTTCATCCGGCCCTGGGGATTTTGTCTTCTTTAGTTTATTTATCCTCTTTTCTGATACAGTGACCCCTCCGTTAACGAACCCAATCCGTTCCAGAAGGTCGTTCGTTAACCGAAACCATTGTTTCAATGGGTTTTTGGGTAATTGGTTCCAGCTCACCGAAAATTTCCTAAATTCAACAAAAATGATAGAAAAGTTCACTTACTTTGAGGTGTGTATGTAGAAGGCTCCTGGATGATGATGGGATTTAGAATGGGGGTGGAGGAGAAGAAAGAAGAGAAGTCATTGGGGTGGAAGAGAAGTCACCCCATGGCGCCATTTCACCCATAAAATTTTAGCTCTCTGGTGTAATTCAAGATTATTTTCTTTAAATCAACACTGCACTGCATTATATATTGTCAATATGTAAAATATATTTCAAAATGACCAATAATTTGCTTGGAAACACAGAAAAAAAGCATTTAGTTGAAGAGAGTCTCAAGCAAGATGTTACCTCCAGTGAAAACAGAGAGAGACTAACTCCTGTTTGCTGTGTTAAGAGGCTGGATGCCGCGCATTAAACTAGTCACTTTACCTTCAATTATGTTCAATAATTGTTAAAATGACTAAAAAATTGAATATTAAACTTTTAAAATTATTGAATAGTATAAACTTCTTGATATTTACTAAAATAGTAAGGAATTTAAGCCCTAGAACCGATTAATGTATTGGCGGACTGATACTGAAGCTGGTTGCCCGGTCAGTGCAAGCGAAAACATGTTGAGGTCGGTTCGTAAGAACTTCGTTAACCGAATTTTTTTTCGTTAACTGAATTGAAGATCCTTATGGAAGGCAGTTCGTTAATCGAAATTACGTTAACCGAGGTGTTCGTTAAACGAGGGGTCACTGTAGTGATATTCTTTAGTTTCTCTTCTTCCTTTCCCCTAAATATCAGTTCCACCTCTGGAATTTCCTCGCGAATTTCTTTTGTGAAAACTGATAAGAAGTAGTTGTTCAATGCTGTGCTTATTTCTTCACTGCCATTTATCACTTCTCCCCTCCCTGACTTTAAAGGCCCAACTTTGTCCTTGACTTTTGTTCTATATACCTGGAAAAATCCCTTGGGATTCACCTTGGATTCTCTTGCTATTTTGACTTCATAGTCTCTCTTTGCTTTCCTTACATTTTTCTTAGCATTCCTAGATAGTTCATTTTACGTATTTTTGAGCTGCTCCTCCCCTCCCTTTAATTTCTTATAAATTCCTTTCTTTATTCCTTTGTCATGTTTAAGTTTTCTGGTCATTCACCTTGGCTCATTTTTATTTGACCTAATTTTTCTGTATGGTATATTTTGTTCTTGTGCTTTATGTAGTATACTAGTGAATATATTATAGTCATGATCAATTGTTGTGTCATCTATGACCTCACCCCCTTCCTACTGGGGACTGACGTGACTGTTCCCAGGTGACCTCACCTAGGTACCTTCTTAGCCCCTGATAATCCACCAACCGAAAGTTTCGGACTCTGACCATATTTTCATTGTTTTTTGTTTCCCAATTTAGGGTGAACCTGATTTTTCTGTGATCACTGTTACCTAGTTCTTCCCCTACTGTGATATCTCTGATAATATTTTCTTTATTTGTTAATTCTAGGTCTAATATATTGTCACCTCTAGTAGGTTCTGTAATTAGTTGTTTAAAAAAATTGTCCTGTACTGCATCTAGGAAGTCTTCAGATTCATAGTCACCTACAATGTTGTCCCAGTCAATATTTCTGAAGTTGAAATCCCCCATAATGCACAGGTTGTTGTATTTTGCTGCCCTACTCATTTCCTGCCATATGGGCTGAGCTGCTTCTTTCCCAAGACTTGGGGGCCTGTAAATCACTCCCATAATTAGTTTTTCTCTTCCTTCCGTGATTTCTACCCATACAGACTCAGTTCCTATTTCACCCTTTATTGAATTATTAATACAACATTTTAATGTATCCTTGATGAAGAGTGCGACCTCTTCCCCCTTCCTACCTTCCCTGTCCTTGTGAAAAAGGTTGTACCCTTCTATGTGGTACTCTGATTAAAAAATTTTGCTCGCCAGATTCATCCAAGTTTCGGTGATTGCTATGACGTCTACATTCTCGGTACATACAACCGCTCTCAGCAAGTCTATTTTATTTCTAACGCTCCTACTGTTTGTATAGTATACATTTAAACCTACTCTTCCCTGGTCCTGTTTTACCCCTTGTCCTGAGTAACTAATTTTACTTCCCAGGACCTGCTTGTTTTTTGACTCCCACTTTCCCCGACCTCTCTCTACTGGCGAAACCCCCCCTTTGGAGTGACAATTTCACGCTCCAGGGATGCAGACAACGTTTTTACCCCCTCACGAGACAAGTGTACTCCGTCACGACTGTACAGGTAGTCATTGCCATAGAATCGTTGCCAGCTATCAATGAATGCCCAACCATTGTTTGCACAATGTTTTTCCAGTCGGCAATTTATAGCAATTGCCCTGGACAGCCATTCACGACCAACCCCTCTTCCAGGCAAGACACCACATACTATCGGGATCCTTCCCCTATCTCAGATCTTCCCCAGCGCCTCCCGATACCTCTTGAAAAGTTCCTCACTCCTAACCTTTCTTATGTCGTTTCCTCCCACACTAAGACACACTACTGGATTGGTACCCTCCCCTGACAAAACCCTATCTATCCTCTCAGCTACATGCCCTTACCTAACCCCTTAGCCGGGGGCTCTGTCCCTAGACCCCTGGTCAGCCTCCATGAGAATATACATAGCCGTTACAGCATTTCTTACCTTACTTTGAGTCAGGGTTGGAGTCTGAGTCAGGGATTTGCGACGGAAGTGTAATACTGTATAAGAAGATGGTGTTATTTTACTTTTGGGCATAGTGCACCCGAAAGTTATAAACCACTGAAACATTTAGGTCTCCTTATTCTGGGCATTTTGAACCCCCATATATACCAGGTGGAAATGGATAATAGTGACACAATTGAATTTAATATATTTTACTTAGTGTTCAGTCTTCGTCTGTGAGGAGATGTTATTGGCGCATCATGCATGCGCAATACTGACTAACGTCATCCAGTCATGACAAATGATGTGTCGATACCATCACGCGATATTTTTTCGACCAATCACATTTGATTTTTTCAAAGGAAGCATCCCGAGTACGATTTTAATTTAATTGACGAGTTTCACAATGGCCGTGTTGGAGGTTGGTTGTCATTTGTGCACCTACGATTATTTTAAATTTATTGCTGAGTTCTACAAGAAAGAAGATCATGTTATCCAATTCATACATATCCCTGGTCCTTCCACTTCTGACTAAGGTACAGGCAGTCCCTGACTTACGACGGGGTTAGGGACCCAAATCCAGGTTGTTTGTAGAATTGATCGTAATTCGTAAATGCGAAAATAATACATAGAAAATCTAAAATGGGTGTCTCTTTTTCTTCTCAGCACCACAAAACTCTCGGCTATTTTAAAGGGAATTACAAACGAAAATTTTGTCAGTACACAGCACAATCATTAACGTCGGGACTCGAAAATACGTAATTTGAAAAAGATTTGGTACGACTGGGGCGGTCGTATGTCCGGGTGGCCGTAAGTCGAGTACTGTAGGTCATAAGTCGAGGAGTACCTGTATTGTACTTTCGGACATGGCACGCCCCAAAGTTTTAAACTACTGAAACATTTAGATTAGTTTAAGCTAGGCCTTCCGCCTGGCTAGGCTTCAGGTTAAGTTTTGTTAGGTTATATGACTTGTTTTCTCCCCACCCAAAAACCCTGATTTCCCAGGCTCTCCCCCTTTATTGTTGGGGGGCTTAAATGAGCAACTTCCACTAAAAATGAAGGTTAGATTCGTTTAAAACACACCAGAATACACTGGAAAAACATATTGGTCTACCCCTAGGGACTCATGACCTAAAGTAAAAATTTACCCCAAAAATAGTTCTATTGATTGAGTGTAGTGAATTTCCGGAATTCCGTGGTTGCTGTTTACTGCAGTATTACCGATTAGGCTAGGTTAGGTTAAGTTGAACATGGTATTATTACAGTTTCAGCCACAACTCGATTAGACCAATTTTTTTACGTTACCATTAGTTATATCTTGTCAATAGGAACAACTTTTTCTAATACCACTTCTGTCGCAAATGGAAATTAACTGAAAAGGTAAATTCACATAAGAAATTAACGTAAATCTGCGGTCAATCTGGAACTCCCAAAAAAAAAAGTTTCAGGGATTAGCCCACCCGGGCACAGGTCACTGACCCACATCGGGGCCTGGGGGGCGATATTGTAATAATATTAATAATGATGATGCTATTAATAGTAATAATAGTAATAAAGAACCATAAATAAATGCAAAAATGAAAAAAAATCAAGAGTGAGAAACAAAATATGTATGTTGTGTTGTCAATAGTAAGAGAAGCAATTGAGACCCTGCAATTGTGTGTAAATGAGGTAGAAAGTCAGATCAGCAACCTGGGACTAGGTCACAATTTTCGTGATGACATGTTCTTTGACTTTTCCATTTTTTTTTCACGGTTTCTGTGCTGGTTCATATTTATTTACTAAAGTGGTTAATGTTTTAAAGCAAATTCTATTGGAATATGAATGGCAAATGAACAAAAATGAATAAAGGGAATTAAATGAGGTAGGTTAGGGAAAGGTATTTTGAAAATGTATGTTTTATTTCCGTTGACTTTATGTACTATTAACCGACCTTTCGGATTATCCGTCGGCCCTTTCCCCCCATATGTGGTCGGTTAATCGAGGTTTTACTGTACCTTCTGTTTAATATAGCGGGGACGGTGGTTAATATTTAGTAGTCGCCACATCAAACTGAATATTGAGTCATACAGTTGAGTCTGGATTTACGCGGTTTTGGTTTACACGTTTGGTCATTTACGCGGAGCCTTGCCAGAATTGAAATGCTTGATTTACGCGGGAAGTGGCGTGGGCAGGGTGCGCACAAGGTCACCCAGTCATCAAAACATTACTGAGTTCTTCACCCGCCACCCACCACAGCCGGCTCAAGTCATTGATAGTGAGGATATGGACTTTGAGGGGTTCGTTAAAGAGGCCCTGCAAGCCTATGTGGTGGATAGTGATACAATTGATACAAGTGATACAGGTGAGGGCCAATAATCTGCCCTCTGCTTCGGAACCAACCCCCCATCCCCGTATACCCAGCCATCTTTTCTAATAACCTTTGTGTTAAAAAACCTAATACTATTGATATTTCTCTTAATTGTTAATTGTGTGTGCATACCATCATAAAATTAAGATGTTATTTTGACTACAAGGAACGTATTGTGTCGGAAAAAGTGGAGTTTGGGGGTCGGCCCAGTCTCTATTTCAATTAATCCCATATGTTCTGTTATTTCATTTACGCGTTTCTCGTTTTACGCGGTACTCCGTGGGTTCAATTGACCGTGTAAATGAAGACCCAACTGTATGGGGGGATAGAGAAAAAAAATAAAATAATTTATTCTATAACATTTTCTTTGGAAATTTATAGTGTGAGTTATTTTAACTTTTATTTAATAGTATTGACCAATCAGCGTGAGTGTTGATGTGACTTCATAGTCATGCGCTCCAATCAGCATGAGTGCCGATATGATGTAATACTTGTGTGCTAATCAGCACAAGTGTCCATCCGCAGGCAGTTGGATGATGGCATCTGTGTGAGAAGGATGTATATTGGCTAGCTGGCACATTATTCAGCTCATTTTGGGCAATGAAGCAGTAGCTGTTTACATTTTTAGGGTTCACGGTGTTCTTGTTTTATCTGTAGAGTGTCAGTTCCGTGTAGATCGCCATGCATGGTACTGTTCTGTGGTAAGAGACGGACACTGACGAAGTCACCACTTGCTCATTCAAGTCACATGACCATCCTCCTGAATTTCATACTTAAGGTAAGTTTCTGACACACTTGGGCTTGATTAGGTTAGGTGGTTTTTTCTTCAGTTTTTATGTCATTTGACCTTCCTTTTTTTTTTCAATATCTCAACTACTGCTCATTTCCAAGGGCATTGAAGGTATTTGCATTTAACAATTAGTCAGTTGGGTGGTGGCAACTAAAAAAAATTACTGGAATGGCTAGGAAGTTAGGTTAGGTAGGCTTCTTTCGTTGGTTAGGTCAGGTTGTATGGGTGGGTGATAAATCCAAAATGAGTCATTTCCAATGGAAATGAAGGTCAAATTCAAAAGAATCGCATCAAATACCATGGGAAAAAATTGTGGTCGAACAGTAGTTGTGGCTGAAACCGTAAATTGACCAAACCTATAAATAATCATTTTAACGCATTTGCCATAACTACGAGTGTCCACTATAAAACATAGTGAAATTGCAGTGTTTTTATTATTGTTTTTTATGAAAAATCAGCGGTGGAAAAGTCGTCAATAATTACCAAGAAGGAAATGTCTGAAAACTGTACTACCACCAGAAAGAGATGTTCGATTGTGTTCATATTTTTCACAGATGATGCTATTATCATAGTAAGCATTGGCTAATATTTTTTTTACTAACCCACTGACTTGTAATTTGTTTCAATGTTTATTTTCTGTTAACATTACAGCTCCTCCTCGACTTACGACCACCCGGACATACTGTACAACCGCCTCAGTTGCACCAAAATTTTGTCAAATTATGTATTTTCGAGTCCCAGCGTCAGTGATTGCCCTGTCTACTGACAAAATTTTCGTTTGTAATTCACTTTAAAATGGCTGGCAAGCTTAAAAGTGAGAGTTTTGTGGTGCTGAGAAGGAAAAGAGACACCCATATTAAATTTTCTATGTATTATTTAAGCATTTTCGACTTTCGACCATTTTGACTTACGACCTGGATTTGGGTCCCTAACCCCATCGTAAGTTGGGGAGGAGCTGTACTTGGTAAATAAATATATATATATATATATATATATATATATATATATATATATATATATATATATATATATATATATATATATATATATATATATATATATATATATATACAGTCAACCCTCACTTTTCTGAGTTAATGCTTAACCCACAGAATTACGCGGAAAGTGAAAGCAACATCAAAATTGAATAACATAACATGTGGGATTAAATGAAATAGAGACCAGCTGACCCCCAAACTCCACTTTTTCCGACACAATACCTATGTTCTAGTAAAAATAACATCTTAATTTTATGATGGTACATGCACACAATTAATACTTAAGAGAAATAGAGAAATACAGTCGCCAAGTTAATGTCCATTCAAATAATGGACTCGACTCCCTCCCCCTCTTCTCACAGTACACTCACTGGCTCTTCCCGCTGAGAAATTTTGGGGGGAAAACCAGGTATAGTAATAAATAATTCCTCAAACTAAAGTTAGGATAATATAATTGACATTGCTGGATTCCTTGTAAGACCAGGAATATTTTGAATATAAATGTCATATATTTTTCACAAAAGATAACATATTTACTCAGAGTAAACATTACATCTAAAATTTGTATGTCTAATGCAAAATCTATGATGTTTACATTCAAAATGATCATCAAATTGTAAGAATTCCAGCAATGTAAATTATATTCTGGCCGGGTAATTTGTATGAATTTTATGAGCTAAAACAAATATCTTCAGTTAATAAAAAAAAAAATATTCTTCAGACACTATCTGTCAATCAAAGTACCCCACCTTGCTTTCCCCCCTCTTCCAACAGAGCCAGATGGTCAGTCCGTCCCAACCCTCCCCCCAACCTCCCACCAACCCTCCCTTCAAGAGAAAGGGTGGGTGAAAAAACTAGATTTTAACATTTAGTATTAAATATTACCTCAGATTAAAGTTAGGATAATATAATTGACATTGCTGGATTCCTTGTAAGACCAGGAACATTTTGAATATAAATGTCATATATTTTGCACAAAAGATAACATATTTACTCAGAGTAAACATTATATCTAAAAATTTTATGTCTAATGCAAAATATATGATGTTTATATTCAAAAAGATCATCAAATTGTAAGAATTCCAGCAATGTAAATTATATTCTGGCCAGGTAATTTGTATGAATTTTATGAGCTAAAATAAAAATCTTCAGTTAATAAAAAAAAAAAATTTCTTCACACATGCCAGGTGGTCGGTCGCCGGTCCCTCCCTCCCCCCCCACCCCCCACCAACCGTCCCTACTAGATAAATGTGTGGGAATACCAGACTGTTTACCTTTTTAGTAATAAATAATAAATCAGACTAAAGTTAGGATAATATAATTGACATTGCTGGATTCCTTGTAAGACCAGGAATATTTTGAATATAAATGTCATACAGTTGTACCCCACTTAACGCGGTCAATTGAACCCAGAGGGTCCCGCGCTAAGTGAAATCCGCGTTAAGTGAACAACAGAACATATGGGATTAATTCCAATAGAACCCAGCCCGACCCCCAAACTCCACTTTTTGACGACACATAGCTATGTTGTAGTAAAAATTCTATCTTAACTTTATGATGGTATGAAAAAACAAGTAATATAGAAGAGGTTAGGTTAGGAAAGATAAAGGTTAACATAGGAAAAATGAAGGTTACCTAAGAGAAACTAAAAGTTAGGTGGAACACTTACGGTAGTAGAAGAGATGGAGTGGGCATCTCACGGGGATGGAGGCTGGATTTCGGCAGAGGGCAGATTACTGGCCCTCAGGTGCATCACCATCACTGTCACTTACAGTTGTCAGGGCTTCCCTGACAAATCCCTCAAAGTCACTTTCACTGTCACTATCACTGGCTCTGGCTGGCTATGGTGGGTTGCGGGCGAAGAACTCGGTAATGCTTTTTAGACGGCTAGTGTTAATGTTGTCTTGATACACCGTGATGTACGGCTCCATAGCCTGCACCAGCCGGGTATGGAAGACTTCATAGCGGTCATCGTCATTGTCGCGGGAAAGGAAAGACTTCATTTTTTCTGCACACTCCATGGCACCCTTAATATCACTATGACTTAACTTGTCTTCTTCGGAGAATGACGCACCTTCTTCCTCTTCACTGACGTGCTCATCTTCCAACATCTCGTTGGCAGTCACTTCAGGATCTCTGATCACCTCCAGGATGTCTTCGTTGGTGGTCTCGGAGAAGCCTTCAGCTGTAATATTGTGCGCAGCTTCTCTGGCAAGGTCCACTGCTACTGCAACAGTCTGAACCTCACCAGTGACAGGTTGACTCCTCCTCTCAGCTGGTATGCCATGCAACACATGTCTCCATGCGTGACGAATCGTAGCAATAGACAGCTGACCCCATGCCTCCACCAAGAAGTCTACAGCTTGTTTGACGATAAACTTCTTCCAAAACTGTTTGACGAGAACTTCTTGAGTCGCCACCTCTTGTTCCTTGTCCTCGTCGCTTTTACTCTTGCTGTCGGTGTCATCCATCTTACGCAACTCATCCTTGGTGTTGGTAGAGTCGTTCAGGAGCTTGAACTTCTTTGCAGAGTACGCAGCTTTCACATTGCAGATCAACTCCTGGTCCATGGGCTGGATTAATGACGTAGTGTTGGGAGGAAGGAAGACCACTTTTACGTTGGGGTGACGATCCATAAGTAGGGGCTAGTGTCCAGGTGCATTGTCAAGGAGCAACAAAATGTTGAATGGAACATTCTGTTGCTCGCAGAATTTCTTCACGTCGGGAACAAAACAGTCGTCAAACCAGAAAAGGGACAGAGAAGAGGACATCCACGCCTTACGTGCGGTTAGCCAGTGGACATTAAGCTTGTTCATGTCCATATTCTTGTAGGCGTGGGGCTTGCGGGCTGTGTGAATCACCGATAACTTTGGTTTACAGGTACCGGAGGCATTGGTGGTAAAGAGGACGGTGATGCGTTCCTTCTGCAACTTCCGACCCCTTACCTTGCTGGCAGACTGGACAACGAAGGTCTTGGAAGGTAGCTTTTTCCAGAAAAGACCAGATTCGTCCATATTAAACACCTGGTCATCAGTGTACTGTCCTTCCTCCATAACCTCACGTAAGAACGGAGGAAAATCTCTAGCCGCCACACGGTCAGCACTCGCTTCCTCACCACCAATGTTGGTGTTGGTGATCTTGTTCCTCTTCTTAAACCTATGCAGCCAACCAGAGGAAGCATTGAAGGGTTTGGGCTCTGCAATTCCCAGCTTACGTGACACTACTGCGTACAGTTCACGTGCGTACTCCTGCACTGAGCGCGTGTCCACCGCCATGTTGCGTCGTGCCTGACGAATCAAATAACTCACCAACAAATTTTCCACCTTTACCAGCACCCTGTTCTGGCAATACTTGATCATTGAAGCACCTGCAGACTTTGTGATTTTCATGTGTTCTTTAATCTTGGCTGAATCCTTCTTAATAGTGCGAATCGTAGATTCGTTGACGCCATGCCGGCGCGAGAGATCAGCTTGAAGTGTTCCTTTCTCCAAATCTTGAATGATCTGGTATTTCACTTCGTAGCTTAGGCCACGGCGTGTCTTCTTGGGCTTAGGGCGGCTGGGTCCAGGTAAGGAAAGGTTTCTCTCTGGTGGCGGTGGTGGTCCGCCGGAAGCCATTTCACAGAACAATGGATGCACGTATACACGGGGTGGCCTGGAGGGATGAAACTACCGCGGCAGCGTGCTCTTTCCTTCCTCCCTCCCTCCCCGGGTGGACACGTCTTATTACTTTAAACCAATTACAGCTAGCAGCAGAGGGGGGTAGGGATGCATGGCCAATCACAGTCCGATATGTCATATGACATCAGTGATAACGCAACAAAGACACACACTGCGCAACCTTACAGCGCGGCTTGCCCAGGCGGAGGGAGGGAGGAGGGAGAGGCAGGCAGGCGGGTGGCGTGGGCAAATCTAAAAATAGCATCTCGAGCCGGACACTCACCGCGTATATGTGGAAAAAATCCGTGTTAAGTGAAAGTTCAGCTCTGGC